GGAAAATTGGACAGATACGTGAAAAAATATGAAACTAGACCAACTTACATCATACACAAGAATAAACTCAAAGTGCATAAAAGACTTAAATGTAAGTCAAGAAACCATAAGAATCCCAGAAGAAACCATCGGCAGTAAAATCTCAGACATCTCATGTAGCAAAATTTTCTTACATCTTCTAGGGCAGTGACGGCAAACCTTTTGAGCTCGGCGTGTCAGCACTTTGAAAAACCCTAACTTAACTCTGGTGCCATGTCACATATAGAAATTTTTTGATATTTGAAACCATAGTAAAACAAAGATGTATATTTCTGATATTTATTTTATATATTTAAATGCCATTTAACAGAGAAAAATCAACCAAAAAAATGAGTTCGCGTGTCACCTCTGACACGCGTGTCAAAGGTTCGCCATCACTGTTCTAGGGCAAGAGAAACAAAAGAAAAAAATAAAACAAATAGGACATCAAACTATAAAGCTTCTCTACTGCAAAAGAAGCCATCACCTAAATCAGTGGTTCTCAACCTTCTGGCCCTTTAAATACAGTTCCTCATGTTGTGACCCAACCATAAAATTATTTTCGTTGCTACTTCATAACTGTAATGTTGTTAATGTTATGAATCGTAATATAAATATCTGATATGCAGGATGGTCTTAGGCGACCCCTGTGAAAGGGTCATTCGACCGCCAAAGGGGTCGAGACCCGCAGGTTGAAAACCGCTGACCTAAATGAAAAGAGAACCCAAGAATCAAAGAACAAATTCGCCAATAATATATCTGGTAAGAGGTTAATTTCCAAAATATATAAAGAACTCATACAACTCAACAAAAGGGAAACAATCCAATTAAAAAATGGGCAAAGCATCTGAATAGACACTTCTCCAAAGAGTATATACAGATGGCCAAGCGACATATGGAAAAAATGCTCAACATCACTAATCATCAGAGAAATGCAAATTAAAACTATAATGAGGTACCACCTCACACCTGCCAGAATGGCTACCATCAACAAATCAATAAACAACAAGTGCTGGCAACGATGCAGAGAAAAGGGAACCCAGTGTACGCATGGTGGGAATGCAGACTAGTGCAGCCACAATGAAAAACAGTACAGAGTCTCGCCTAAAAATTAAAAGTGGAACTGCCATTTGACCCACTTCTGGGAATATATTCTAAGAATCCCAAAACACCAATCAGAAAGAATGTATGCATTTCTATATACATAGCAACATTATTTACAATAACTAAGGCCTAGAAACAGTCCAAGTGCCCATCAGTAGGTGAGTGGATAAAAACCTGTGGTATATTTACACAATGAAATACTATGCAACTGTAAAAAAGAAGGATCTCTCATACCTCTGCAAGAGCATGGATGGACCTGGAGACCATTATGCTAACTGAAATAAGCCAGTCAGAGAAAGAAAAATATCACATGATCTCACTTATATGTGGAATCTAAAGAACAAAATAAATTGAACTAAATAGGTCCAGAGGGATGGGTGTATGGAACAGACTGACAGATCTCAGAGAGGAGGGGAGTGGGGGTAGGGGAGGGATAGAAAGAGATTAACCAAAGAACTTATATGCATACTAGTGGCCCAGTGCACGAATTCGTGAACATTAAAAGGAAATTAATTAGAATAAATATTTTAATATCGCTATTCGCCCTTTCTCTATAATAGAAGTGACAACCAAATTCACAATCAATCAAAACACAAGCATGCAATTGGCACCAGTGAGAGCTTTATATGTATCATACATGTGCAAGTCAACTTAGCCTTTTATAGATATAGAATAAACTTGCTTAATTAGACCTGCTTTCTGATTTAGTTAAACTTTTTCCAGCCCAGTGAAGCACCCCAACTTCTCTTTCAGGTAATTGTCAGCAACACAGCAGTAAATATCAACACAAAGCAGATTATTATTATAGATCACACAGGGAGAAGAAAGAGTAAAATATTTAACTGCAGCCGTGTCTGATTATATTATGTGCAGTGAGAAAACCTGAAGTCATTTTCAAGGCCCACCATTTCTTACTTCTTTTCAGTCGGGTCAAGTTTCTAAATCTCTGTTTTCTGGCTAATGAAAAGAAAATAGGACTCTATCAAGTCTCCTATCTACCTACTCCAGGACTTCAGTGAGGATCAAATGAGATGAGGCATGGGAAAATGGTTCACAGACATTTGGTTAAAGTGTAAAATGTTTCCACATGGCTATAAAGCAAGTCATGTTCCTGGGCTGAAGAAACTCCAAGGAGTCTAGTCACTAGGGAGAGGAAGCTGGGCATTGCTACGTGACATCATTACCCAACACCCACAGTGACTGTTTCCAGGATGGGCTGGGCTGTGGGTCACATTTCATGCCATAGGGTCTGCATGGCTGTGATTTGGTGGGCTGTTGCTCCGGGGTGGTGGTGGGGCCTGTGTCCCACTTGGGGGAAGCTGAGTGTTGCTTTGTGAGTGCCAGATCTGCAGTGCCATTTATTTTTAAATGGCCAATGTGCATCATCGCAGCTCCTGCATTGAGCGTCTGCCCCATGGTGGTCAGTACATGTCATAGCGACCAGTTGGATGGTCAGACACTTAGCATAACAGATTTTTATATAGAGAGATATGCATAGTCCAAGGACACAGACAATAGTGTGGTTAAGGCCTGGGGTGGGGCGGGGTCTGGGTGGAGGGGGGAAGTGGAGTAAAAATAAGGGACATATGTAATATTGCCAACAATAATAAATAAACTTTAAGAAAAAAGCATCTAATGAGCTGGGATCCAGAGAGACAAGTCATCCCAAACCTGAGGAAAATGCCATACAGTACATAAAATTCATGTAATTTTATTTTGTAGAGTTTAATGCATGTTTTATAATTGATTAATATTTATAAACAAACAAACTCCAGTTTAATCAAAATGAACTTTCATTTTTATGGTAAGTAGTCTTTTCCTAAAAATTAACTTATATAACTTGTTTGGAAAAAACTATACTATATTGGCCATTTTGTAAATATGATAAGATAATTAATACTACATGTTGTACAAACCTCCAAATTTCAGTGGCTTTTTTTTTGACAATTAAATGCCTTTATTGCAAAGCTGCATATATTTTTAAATTAAAATGGAACAGTTAAGAAGATAATAAAATATAAATGTTGACTTAGATTACCATATATAATGATGACAAAAGTCTGAGAAATGTAGGTTGATGAAGACAATTTGAGTCAAAGATACAACTCTTTACAGCATTTCTTTCACTGCTGCTAAGAGAGAATCGAAACATTCTGTGACTGTAGAGAAGTCCGCATTTCTTGGTGAGTGCAGCAAGTCTTGTGTTCTTTACATGTGGAGAAATTGTCCTGAAGGAGCTGACCACTGTGTACAGCGTGTGGAGTGTAGAGAGCGCCTGAGAAGGCACATGGGCATTTCTTTAGTTATTGTCAGCTGAATCCAGTGGCATTGGCAAAGCCACGTCCTGGAAACACACTTTGCCAAAAGGCAGGAGTGTTGTCAGCTTGACCTTCAGCCCAGGTGCCAGGGAGTGGGTTTTGTTATTTAAATCCAGCCAAGCACCAGGAATGAATATGACTCGAGCCTACCCAAGAATGCACATAATCTCCTATGTCTTGACTTTTAGTAAAACTTCCTGTTTTTTGCTGTATAAAATAAACACGCTGTATTGGCTCTGGGTCCTTGTCCCTGTCTCTCCATCAGAGGACAGCATTCCCACACAGCCCCAGCTTTTTCTTTCCATCTCTGTGACTGTCTCTTTCTTTCATTTTCTCAATCCTGAGCCGCCCCTACTCAGGAACCTGACCACTCTCTAGCCGCGCTGGACATGGAGAAGAGAGAAATATTCACAGTCGAGGAGGAGGAGTCCAGCCTAGGGATGCATCCACTGGTCTCAGGGATCCTCAGGTGGAGGTGGAGGCAGGCAGCACAGCAGGCAGCTGGAGAGGCCCAAGTGGAGAGGAGGGAACAGTGCTGCTTTAGGACCCAGGTCCACCTCTGAGGAGGGGACCATCAGGGTGTGGCTCCTGGCGTCCTGGCAGGTTTGGAACAGCAGCTTGTGAAGTGGAGATTTTCACAGCCTCTTCCAGGTACCTGAGGGTCTTTAGCATCTCCACCATCTCCTCCTCTTGTCTGGAGCATTTGGATCTCTCTCCCTTCAGTTTGTGAACCAGGGATGTAATTTCCTGCTTCAGCGCCCAGTAGGTCATGGTCGCTTTTCTGCAAGCGTGGGCAAGGCTGGGTATATTTAATGACTCTTTCTCACGCCTGGCATTGTCTAAGGATGACTCTATCCCCCTGCACTACTCTTTAACCGCGCTCAACTTAATGAGTTGGCATTTCTCCTCCATCTGTCTGGCCAGTGCCTTTGCCAGGTGCACTTCACGTCTTACATAGGTTGACTCTGAACAGATGGAACAAATCTGACTATAAATATGAGATCCACCAAGAAGCCTTTGACAGATGGACACACAAATATCTCCCATTGGAGGACGTGGACAGGGAGGCGTGGACTCTGGCCAGCAGCCCCACAGCCTCTTCGCCCAATAATGGGCCCTGAGCCCAGCTCTATAGAGGACCATAGCACCTCCATAGACCATCAAAACAGGACAGCTGGGTCACCATGGAGCCTCCAGCCACAACAGAATCCATGACACCCCAACATTCCACCTGGAACCAGCCAGCAAGGGTGACCCTAATTGGTCATCAGTGATATGGTTGAGATAGGGGAAGATTTGTAAAAACATATGCCAAAAGTCCAATGACATTCAGTAGTCATCACCATGTATGTTTTTGTGTCAATATAAATTAAAATATAGTGAAAATAGCAACAAAAATTATCAATGCTAATGACAGAACTATTCTATTTAAAGTGATATGTTTTTCACAATCACTTTTGTTTGTTCATTTAACATTGTAGATCAGGGGCTTATTTTTAATGATTGCTCATCTGGGAATGCCATGAGACATGACTTAAATTTGTTTTGACTTCTAGGGTGACCAGAACAATGATACTCAGATCTTTGCACTGGCAATACTATTGAGTAGTACCTTTGTTTACAACACCATGAACAAAATTGACCAGAGGGCTATCGATCTATTGCAGTATCCTTTTATGATCCAGGATGGCACCAAAGCCAGAGAAAACTCTTCTATCCACCAGCTGTGTTTATGAACCTTTTGAATCAAACACAAAAATAAAAACGCGATAAACATTAAAAGTACAAGAAAAACAGCCCTTATACTTACTGAGGTTATGAAGAATTGGTTACAACCAAAAGAGAACATAATGGTATAAGGATGTAAGGAATGCAATATGGCTTAGATTCAGTCCTATTTCCAACCAGTTTTCCTTAATTATATCTCAGTTATGTAATAGAACTGTCAAATCAGCTCAGGACAGTTTCTCCACCTGATCTTGATGGGGTTGAAGATGCAGCAGATGCTGTGAACTTCTGTCCAGACTTAGTGTGGACTCTGAGAGATTTCTACCTTTCCCTGGAAGCAGACGGGAAACACATCACAGCAGATGACTACCTGGAGAACTCGTTGAAGCTGAAAGAAGGTAACAGGGACTTTAATTTCGGAAAGAGAGAGAGAAGTAATATAAGAATATCTCTATGTGTAAGTGGTTACATTTATAGTTTCCTATATTTAATCATTTGGTTAAACTGCCAAGTAAATAATGAACCCTACTAATTTAAAGTGAACTATTAGATTCAATATGAGATTGAATTACTGAATGTTCTTGGAGTAAATTACTTTCTTCCTTTCTCTGATGGGTTACCTTTTAACTTTTTGCTTAGAGTTTATAGAGATGTGTTGAAATAGATAACATCAGTTTAAAGGCAAATTTATTCATGGGAAATACATTAAAATGAATGCTAGTTCTATACTAAATAAAACCCATTTTTTTTCTTCCCCAGACACTGATGAAAATCATAAAAATTTCAATTTGCCCCGTCATTGCATACAGACATTCTTTGCAAGAAAGAAATGCTTTGTCTTTGACTCTCCCACTCACCGGAAGAAGCTTGCCCATCTTCCAACACTTCATAACAATGAACTGGATCCTGACTTTGTGCAACAAGTGGCAGATTTCTGTTCCTACATCTTTCACCATTCCAAGGCAAAAACTCTTTCAGGAGGCATCAAAGTTAATGGGCCTCGTGAGTACCTTCTTTAGGATTTTCCTTCAACTCAACATAAAGAATGGGGCACTGTTAAAAGTTTTTCCTTTCACTGTCTATGTTGAAAATCCTTCATCAGTTATGACCAAGAAAATTACATACATCACATTTTTAAGTTCCAGTGGATACCCAAAACATTCCTACTGATTTTTTAAGTAATGCCTCTAATCTAGGATAAAATAGCAATATCATCTGAAGAAAAGATAAAGTTAAAGAGTTCTATTCATAAGTGATCCATTGGACTAACCACATGAGTTGGCAACATTTATTCCATGAATATAATGGATACTTATTATGTGTCACAGCCTTAGATAAGCACAAGATAACATATAGGTTCTCTGTTAAATTGGAACGTACTTGATATAAACATTAAGTAAACAGAGGCTCAAGTTGTCTAGAGCTTTAAAGGAAATCTAAGAAAGCATCTTGGACCAGATTTTTTTCTCTAAAGTCACTATGCCTCAGAACTCTATGAATGATTGCTATACTCTTGAGCAATGACTTTCAACCAGTGTGCCTCAATAATTCTTAAAACATGCAATATCCGACTATTTAGTCAGGGGCACTGACTTCTTTTCCTTTAGAATGTCAAATAAAAATATGATAACAGTCAACACAATAGCCAACCGGTATGAATGAATCTAAATTATACCTATTTTTTTTGTCAGATCAGGAAAAAAAAAACCCACATATTTTGGTGTGCAGCACAATTTTAGTAATAGTTTATGTTTGCCATGAGATGGAAAAGGTTGAAAATTGATGTTCTAGGAGAATGGTGAATGCAAACAAAAGTATGCAAGGGACAAGGAAGACAAATAGGAAAGTTCTAACAAAGAGTAAAGGCGAGCCAGTCTAATTTTCTCACTTTGTGTTTTTTCAGCTAATACTCTTACCAGCTTTACATACTGAAGTGGAAGAGAAAAGGGAATTCTGAAGGAAAATGAAACCTGAGGAAGCGAGAAAGAAAGGAAAGAATAAAGAGGCCAGAAAGGCCTATAGCAATCTAATAAAATGAATAGGCATAACTTTAACCATTTACTCATTTCTCAATAGAAAAAGGATGGCATGAGGATGATTACATAGAGCTTGATATTTCTCCTTTAAACACTTTCTTTTCCCAAAGAAAGATCTGGCTTCTTAGTCATACAATTTTCAAAAACAAAACAAACAAACAAAAAGCACATATTTGAGCCACTTGAACACTATGCAGAATACTGAAAAAGCTCAGGCAATGCATTGTTAAATTAACATTCTCAGAACTATCCAATTTTAGAGCATGCCCTCTTTTTCTGCAAATAATGCAAGCATCTCTTTCTCCTGTGAAGGTCTAGAAAGCCTGGTGCTGACCTATGTCAATGCCATCAGCAGTGGGAACCTGCCCAGCATGGAGAATACAGTCTTGGCCTTGGCCCAAATCAAGAATTCAGCTGCAGTACAAAAAGCCATTGCCCACTATGACCAGCAGATGGCCCAGAAGGTGCAGCTGCCCACGGAAAACCTCCAAGAGCTGCTGGACCTGCACAGGACCAGTGAGAAGGAAGCCATCGAAGTCTTCATCAATAATTCCTTCAAGGATGTGGACCAAAGGTTCCAGAAGGAATTAGAGGTAATTAATATTCTTTGCTCTGCTCCTGGGGCTTACATGTAATACAAGTATTGCTATGAAATGCAAAATGGGGACTTAAGAAAAGCAATTCTTACTAGACTGAAAAATAATGACTCTTATATGATCAAGATATCACTTTTATTCTGAAAACAAACAAACAAGCAACATGTAACTACTCTGGGTTGTATGGATTTTAATACTTTCACACACTCACAACTCACCATGTTATAACCATGGACTAATTTTTTTAAATTAATCTTATTCTTTAAAAATTACATCCATAAAGTATTAATTAACTTTCCTTTTATATTAATCAAGTACACAGAATTGCCAAATGGTTCTACTAAAATATCATGTCTCCAGATTTCATAGCATCCACTCATATCATTCTAGCCAATTATTCCACTCCACCTCCTTGTTGGGAGTCCAAGGCCCAGGAAAATACAGAAACAAGGAATGGTTGTAAATGAGTAGGTTGTACAAAAAATTAGGGCTTGAGGTTAGATATCTGTAGTCTGAAGATCACATCTAAAGCAGAAATATCAAGAGAAATGGGTTTCAGGAGATTTGGAAACAAAACTAAAGTCATTTTTCTATACCATAACATCCTTGGAACTTTCCTAGGCTTGATAGTTCTCTAGTTTCTAGAAAATCAATAGAGATTCTGTCTGAGAATCACTTGTAGAAATACTGAAGTATCGCTAACATCTTTTCCATGGGCTTTTGTCCCTTTGAAGACCCTGCTGGAAGCAAAACAAGATGACTTTCGTAAGCAGAACTTGGAGGCATCATCAGATCGTTGCTCAGCTTTACTTCAAGATATTTTTGGTCCTCTAGAAGAATATGTGAAGCAGGGGGTTTACTCAAAGCCTGGAGGGCACCGCCTCTTCATTCAGAAGAGAGAAGAGCTGAAGGCAAAGTACTATCAGGAGCCCAGGAAAGGAATACAGGTATTCCTTGTTTCATGCATTAATTGTGGGAAATTGTTCGGGGTTTGGAGTGGGGAAGGGCTTCTTTCAAAATCCAGTGAAGACAGGAAGAGAGTATTTATACTCTAATGATAGCTGTAGAATTAAACTGAACTATCACCATAATCACCAGACTTTTACTGCAACCATCAACATTCAGTGCAACAAAGGGACATTTTTGGTTACATAGGACAGAATTGCAGTAATTGAAACGAACAGGAAAAAAGAGTAATTCATTGGCTTACATAAAACATTTAAATTTAGTTGCAACTACAGCTACCTTCAGGAATTTAAACAATGTCATCAATTTCCCCTTTCCTTTTTTTCTTTCCAACTCCCACTTAGTTTTCTGTTCTGTTTTCCTACTGGCTTCATCCTCAGGCATGGCAGCAAAGAGGACACCAACATCTTCAAGCTTAACTAGATCTTTTGCCCTCAGTCTCAGAGGAGAGAGAGCATTTCCCCAGCACCCGTATCCATCTCTAAAACATCCATGTTGAGCTTTTTCTCACCTGCACCAAATTTTGTACCCAGTGAACTTGGGTGCTCTGATGAGCCAGCCCAGAGTTTGTGCCCACTCCTGTGACAGAAGAGGCTTGATTGACAGTTCCACCGAGTGCACGCTGAGCAGTTCTGGGGAGGAAAAGATGCTGGGAAGAAAAATAAATAAAAAGGTTTACAACATGCCCAATCACCGTTTCCTACTTTTCACTGTATGGCTTTGGGGTCCTAGGCTGAAGAAGCTCTGCAGAACTATTTACAGTCCAAGGAGTCTGTGAGTGATGCCATTCTACAGACAGATCTGGCTCTCACCGCGAAGGAAAAGGAGAGGAAAGGTGAGAGGAAAATGGAAGAAATGCAAGATAGAACTTTCTGTACATTTTCAATTAACTTGGCCTGGTTTACCTGGGATCTTCAGACTAGAGCAAGAATGGCAAAGATGACTTTTTGCTCCTCAAGCTTTATCTGGGTGGGTGTGTACTGTCATCTGAAAAGGCAAAATGGCCCCAGGGAATTTTCTCTATGAAGCAGTAATAAGCAATAAGAGCAGGAGACAGAAGGAAGGGACACTTTAATCCTATAGGAGTTTGTCATTTTCTTCTTTCTCAGAAGCATATTTGAAAGCAGAGGCTGCAAAGGCTGAAGCACGAAGGTTGGAGGAGATTCAAAGGCAGAACCAGCAAATGATGGAGGAGAGGGAGAGACAGCATCAGGAGCAACTGAGACAAATGGAGATAAACAGAGCCCAACAGCTGGCACAGGAACAGATGGCTCGGGAACGTCAGCTCCAGGTACTCACCCGTTATTTCATCTCATCATTTTAATCACATCTCTCTCTCTGTATTGATTAGAGCGTGAAACAGTGACAAAGAGGGAGAGACAGCATAACTTTATGGCTCAGGGCAAGGACTCTGGAGTCAGACAGCCTGGTAAGAATCCCAGCTCCACATCTTACTAAATATATGGTTTGGGCCAGTTATCTGTCCCTTAGTTTCCACTTGTGGAAAGTGGAGACAGTAATAACACTTCTTTTATAGGGTATTTTAATAGTTAAGTGAGTAAATATTTGTGTTTAGATTAGTGCTGAGCACAGAATAAGCACTGTACTTTGTAAATAAGGATATTTCTAACTCACAGTAGTCTTTTTTGTTAAGTGGTTAATTGCTATAGAAAATCTTTTACTTTGGTCGTAGATTACTTTGTTAAATTGATTTCATATTATGTCCCTGTCTTTGCCTCAACTGTCACTGATTCTGAGGCTTTTAACTTGCAGAGTTTGTTTCAGCCAAGCCCTTATTATCATCATCACTGAATAAGCAGTAGTTCCTACGCAGCAAGTACTGTACAAAGTACTTTATGCACATTCTCTCATCTAATCTGTTCATTGTGAAGCAGAACCATTATGTCCCCATTTTTCTCATTAAAAACATTAGGTTCCAAAGAGATAACTAAATGTCACTATCACACAGCCTAGAAAGTTATCCAAACTGCCTTCCCAGAGAATGAGAACTGCCGTGTTTTTATTTCTGCAAACCGAGTATGAATTCTTACATGAACACTTCCCCCAGGGTGACCCGTCTACCTGTAGGTCCTAGTTTTCCAGAAGCTCCAAGACATTTTTGTGAATACAGATCTACACTAAAGGGCAGAATGGTCAACCTGGGGTTTTTGCTCTCCTCAGTCTTTCATCCACTCCTGCCCTATAACTGTGGAGACTGGAAACAAATTCCCTGATCTAAGGCTCAGACGCCTCACCTGATTGTGATTGTCACTTTGACACCCAGTTGTTGTATTAGCCTTTCCTCAAAGAATTAGATCTGACATTCCTCTGCGTAGAAATGAAAACTGAAGTCAAGATGTGACTCAGATTGCCCAAGGAGGAAGGGAGAAGGGACCTCAGGATGCAATTCTTGAAACACCAATCCTTCAGGAATTGAGAGATGGTGATGTTTCTGCAGCTAGAGGAAGAGATATGGGAGAATTGTTACTGATGGCTTAAAATAAGTGAGGATATGCCTGGTTTGGCTCAGTAGATAGAGCATTGGCCTGCAGACTGAAGGGCCCTAGGTTAGATTCTGGTCAAGGGCACATGCCAGGTTGTGGGCTAGATTCCTAGTAGGGGGCATGCAGGAGGCAGCCGATCAATGATTTTCATCATTGATGTTTCTATCTCTCTCTCCCTTTCCCTCCCTCTCTGAAATCAATCAAAAATATGTTTTTAAAAAATAAGTGAGGATAGTCAATGATTTTGGCTTATCCTCCCCACCCCGCACTCCCAGTGATGTGAATATTACTTTTTGTTAAGCTCTTTAGTTTTATTTGTCACTCTTCAGGAAGAGGCTGCAAAGCAGAGGGAGAGAGAAGAGGCTGAAATAAGAAGACTTCAGAATGAAATTCAGCAGCTACAGCAAGCAAAATCACGAAATGATGATTGTATCTTACTCTAAAGCTAAACACCTGAACTTCTTTTCATGTTCACTTTCCACTGAAGATAGAAAGAAACAAGAAACTATAAAACATGACAAATTACCATTTAAATAAATGTTATAATAATTATATCAAACTTTTGTACTGTTACTAAGTTATGATGCCCATAATTGGTAAAATGTACATTTCAATAGTTTCAATGATGATTACTTCCTTGAAAAGATTATGAATTGTATAACAGAGGGCATTTGATCACTGCATTTATTTGGTAGAGATAGTGGGCTGGTTCTCTCTGGGGAAACTTCCTCTTCTACCTCAATGCCATCCCTCTAATTTTCTCTGGGGGGATTGAAAGTGACCTAGGGGGTGTGTGGTTCACAATAGGCTCAGTCAAATGGGACTTGATCAACATCTTGAACTCACTCAGGTGGGCAGCACTCCTGTCAAGTGGTCATATGCTGGATGCCATTGCAGGGAGTCATCACTTTACCTAGCTTCTTAGCAGCGACAATGTTCGGTTCTCAACTGTGTGGAGGCAGTCAGTCTATGGGAAGTGATGTGATTACTGGTCATGCTCAGTAGAGTTTGCTTAGGGAGAGTCTAAACTGTAAGCAAATAGCACTGTAATGAAGTAGAGGTGCTCTAGAAGTTAGAAAGAACTTTCGGTATGGAAATTGTGTCATAGGCCAAAGAGCTAAAGAAGCCTTTTCTTTATGTTATCCTCATCAAGGTCATAACTTAAACAGGACTTTTCATATCAAAAAGCAGTTTATACTGAATTAAATGATTGTGTGCTATGTCTTTATAATCCTTTAGAGCCTATAAATAAATGGTCAGATAATGTGTCAAAATATCTGATGGGTCTCATTTTATTTTATGCCTGCTTATAATGGTAAAGTTAAACAATCTTAATTCTTTGCAATCATGTATGAAAACCTACTGATTTTTCTTAATATTTATGACGTATACATATATATTTGTACATATTTTTAAACATAAAGCACCATAAAAAGTTTTAAATAATTCTACCACTTTGTTTCCCCAACTGTGAAAAGTCTATGGGGAGGCCTCCTGAATTTCCCTAAGGGGATTAAGAATTACTTTAAAGACTGAAAATAAAACACATTTTATTACATCTTTTTATTTGCTTTCTGTTTCTTTGTTTTATCTCCAGTAAAATAGGCTTCAAAAGTTATAGAATCATTACATAAATCTCTATTTTTATTTTCCTTAAATTGACTACTTACTTATATAAGGAATTTCCCAGTTGAGTTATATGATAGGAACTTAAGCTTTTTTAGTTGCTCAAAATATAATTTACTTATTTACAAAAGAAAATGATAAATTTTAATCTTTGTCTTTTTTTCTCTTCTTAGGAGATGTTTATTATGCCAACTTCCCATATCAATAGGGCTCTGTGGTACTCAACTGTATGTCTAGATTTAAACTGAACTTCAGAAAGTACCAAAGAGCACAGCATGCTCTCCTGAGCATTTGCTTAACAGTACCCTATATTGCCTTTGCAAGTTGTATAACTCATAAAAAATAAAATGCATCTTAATATCCAAGGAAATGTCTGGTTGAAAAGAACAGCACCATCTTCAAAATAAATACTAAGTTTATTACTACCTCTGTTATAGAGATTCAAAACACACACACACACACACACACACAACTTGAGACTAAGCAAAATCGTCAGCTATCTAAGGTTCCAAGCTAGGTACTATTAACTTAGACCGTATTACATATCATCTGATTTCTAGATCAATACTTCTGTTATATCTTCAGGGAAAAAATAGTTTTTCTCCTTTCTGTTACCAGTGATCGAGAACCTTTTGAGCTCGGCGTGTCAGCATTTCGAAAAACCCTAACTTAACTCTGGTGCCGTGTCACATATAGAAATTTTTTGATATTTGCAACCATAGTAAAACAAAGATTTATATTTTTGATATTTAGTTTATATATTTAAATGCCATTTAACAAAGAAAAATCAACCAAAAAAATGAGTTCGCGTGTCATAGGTTCGCCATCACTGTTAGCCCCTCAGAGGTGCATGTTGCTTTTACCAGTGATTCACATTCTTTCCTACCAGCATTTCTGGCCTCCCTTTATCCCCAAATATTTTGATCTCATATGACTCTCTTATGAGGTGGTCATCAGGTACAAAATGACCAGAAAAGATGAACATAAGACAGTTACTTGAAGCTACCAAGAGCTAGACTACATTTTCTGACATTTACAGTGCTGCTTCTGTGAGGTCAACTGATTAAGTTTTAAATGCAAAGGCAAGGAAACAGATTCTCCCATACAGCCTCTATAAGGATGGCAGTCCTGCTAACATCTTGATTTTAGCCCCCTGAGACTCCTAACTTCAGAATTGCAAGATAATTAACTTTATTAACTTAAGTTTTAAGTCATGTGTAGTACTTTGTTACTGCAGCAATCAGAAACGAATATAACTATTAATTAATATTACCAGTAGTTACTGATACTAGCTAATAGTAATTCAGAATTTATTGTGTGCCAATTATGAGTTTTAATAATGTATTCGCTGTTCATAAGGACTCCATGAATTATAATTAACAATATTATTAATAAAATTTATTACCATTATTTATTATTAAGGTTATGGTTGTTGTTTTTGTAAAGTAGAGGAAATGAAAGCATTAGAATTAAATAAATTGTCTAAGGGCAATGCCACAGAAGGCATTTTGAAGCTAGACCCCCACATTTATAATCAACTTGTGATACTCTTTCTGGTCGTACTTAGGAAAACATAGAAATATTGAATAATATGTCAAAATTTAGGGATTAAGGCCACAGTAGTGAAAATAAAAAGCATAGTTACAAAACAGTCTTAAATGATTTACACAAAAAGTGGACAAAGAAATCTCCAGAAAGAAGTGGAGAAAACGTTGTATTGATTCTAGAATAAACTCATCATAGATAGAACAGAAAGTCCAAAAAATAGACTGTTATGAGAATTATGTAATTTAAAGATGGATTTTTTTTTCCTGGGTTAAGACAAATGGATGATCATTTGAACAAAGATAAAGTTAGACCTGGACACAGTAAAGGACATCCAATTTGATGAAAATATTGAAACATAAAAACCATAAAAATTTATTTGAGGGAACCAAATGTATGTTTTCATAAACCTACAGAGGGGAGGCCCTTTCTAAATGTGACTCAAAACCCAGCTGACTTAAATTAACAAAAATAATGTTAAATGTGACTACATAAAAAAATTTATATCCTTACTTTTGTCAAAATAAACACTACAAACAACATTATTTAAAAAATAGTAAACTGAGCCTCGCCAGCATGGCTCAGTGGTTGGGCATCAACCTATGAACCAGGAGAT